ATGTGGTGCTGGGGGATTGAACCGCGGTCCCTGATGCTTTTGCTAAGCTTGTTCTAAGTAGGTGCTTTAGACCACTGAGCCATCTCTTCAGCCCCTACTGGACTATTTTGGAATATATTGCTGAATGCACACACCTATAACATTTAACTGACAATGGAATACCCTTCTCTGACAAAACTAAACAAAAAAGGGATACAAATGAACTACCATTTTGTGTCTGTATATTCAAAATAGTTAGGATAGACATACAGCTACTTTCTCTTAATTCAGTGAATAGAAAGACTTGTTTTAACAGTGTTTGTGGACAGGATGTCATGTCTGCATGTTGTACAATGAATAACCACTAAGACAACAACATACAATGTATTAATTATTGAAACTGTCCTACTAATCAGTTTTGAAACTGTCACATTGCTATTTGTTTCTCAATAAAGTTATTTAAAAAGAAAAAAAATCAAATATCTTGTTCTTTACTCCATTGATCTTTGTCTATTTTATTTACTATTAATTTAATTAGCTTCTGCTCAGAATATGGTACAGGAAAGTGTCCCTTCAACAAAATCCATTGTCAGCCTGGGCAGAGTTCTGCCACATAAGCATCTGCCTGGCATGTGTAGAATTCTGAGTTTGATACTTCATAGTGAAAAACAAAAAGTCCTGTGTCTGCTAAGTTTTTAATTTTTTTGTTATGTTTGCACTCTTTGATACCTTCATTGAGTGACCCAAGCTAATGCTATTTTTACACCACAATATTGGGCAAATTTATTGTAGATCTTTGGCTGTTATATACACTGATTCCTGGCGATACTACTAAAACATATGTACATTTTCTCAAAGATAAATATGAAGATAATTGTGTACTCACAGGACTCAAATGAATATAGTATTTTTATTATTTTTTCCTTTTTAAAAATAATTTTACTTTTTATTTTTTTTATTTTTTGGGGGAACTGGGGATTGAACTCAGGCGCTTGCACTTGCCAGTGAAATGCTTATTCCACTGAGCTATCTCCCTAGCCCTTAAAATAATTTTACTGAGAAACAAATAGCAATGAGACACTTTCAAAACTGATTATTGTCACAGTTTCAATAATTAATACATTGCATATTGTTGTCTTAATGGCTATTCATTGTACAAGATGAAGACATGATATCCTGTGCACAAACACTGTTGGAAAAAATCTCTCTTTTCAATGAATTAAAAGAATTCAGCTGTATATCTATCCTAATTGTTTTGAATATACAGATACAAAATGGTTGTTCATTTCTTTCCTCATATTTTTTTTAATTTTATCAGAGAAGGATTCCATTATCATTTAAATATTCTAGGTGCATAAATTCAGCGAAATATTACAATATGGTCCAGTAGTCCATAATAATAGTGAGATTTCTGTAAGAGTGGCGATGTAAGAAGTTGTTGGCTTGAGCGTTTTACACTTCAGTATATTAATATGCCTTTACTTTTTCTTTCCATAACTTTATTGAGAGACAAATGGCCATGAGACTGTTTCAAATCAAATTGGTATGACAGTTTCAATAATTAACACATTGCATGCTTTCTTTCTAGTGGTTATTTGCTGTACAAGATGTACACATGATATCCTATTTACAAACACTATTAGAACAAATCCCTCTATTCATTAAGAGAATCTAACTATATATCTATCCTAATGACTCTGAATACACAGATACAAAATAAACATTCATCTGTATACCCTTTTCTGTTTAGTTCTGTCATTTGAATATTATAGGTTTGTAAACTCAGCAAAATATTCTAAAAGAGACCAGTAATCCATAATAGTATTGGGTCTTCCACTTCACTGGCAATGTCAGAAATTGTTGACCTGAGTCCCATACACCTCAACATAACACCATGGCTTTACTTCTTATATTTTGTTTTTATACTTTTCTGCTGGATGGTTAAGACCAAGAGAAAGCAAGACCTATGCAACAAGAGTTGTAGCTTTTGGATATGATAAGGTCAGTGAAATCCCCTCAGGATTTATCCTGAGATCCTTTACCTCTGATTGCAGATCCTTTGTCAGTGTCAGCCATGTGGATGAGTCACGGCCATTGCCTGGCCAATGTGCTCTCTTTGAAAGCCTCAGAGAATGTTTTGTCTCCATGTGACTCTCCTTAGGCACACTCTACATCATCGATCACTTTCCTCTTTGGCCCCATGATCTCCTTGATCAGAAAATTTGGGACACTACCGAGTTACATGATGTTACAGTACAGGTTCTCATATATCCTGAGTCTTAATTGACCTTGGAGGCTAGGACCAAAATGTTGGCTTTCCTTGCGGTCGTCCTTTTTCTCTAATTTTGTTCTGCAAACTTAGGTTGTTATACCTCCAGAAAAGAAGCTTATAGTTATTACCATACAACCTAGGCTGTTCAGCTTAACCTCACTATCTGTCTGAATATCACAAATCTTAGGCATAACATGGAGTAGGTATTTTTCGTCAAGTATCGATATGTGAACTTTAAGTCCCTACAGAATATAATGAAAAAACATTTTCGATATAGTATTCAAATTTTACGCAGAACAATTAAGCAACGGAAAAAAGATAAAAAGTGCTGACAACAGGAAATGAGAAAATCAAATTTTTTGCTGATAATTTGGTATTATCCATAAAAATAACAAAATACCAACACTACTTTAGAACAGAAAATTTATGCAGAGTGGGGCAGCCAAATAGCTCAGTGGACAAAAGCACCTGATTAGACAGGCTCTGGGACAGATATTTGATACCTGGCATGCTG